GGAACTCAGAAAGCCAGGCTGCTTGGATATGCAGGGTCTGTGTAAAGCCTCAGCAGTGGGCAGTGCACCAGAGGCACTGTGCAGCCTCCCCCTGCCAACACGTGCTGCAGAACGTAGTGCTAGGAGCAAGTGTGTGCCCCCAAAAACCTGCCAAGTGCTGCGAAATCCAGGCCACCTGAAAATGGCCTCCTGGCATTTTTCCAAAGGTGGACAAGCACAAAAGCCCCTCCAGAGTGTGCTAGTTCTGTCAAAGTTTAACCTTTTAAGCTACCTTGTGGAATCTGCCTTACAGAAAACACCACAAATAGCTCTGCCTCGAGTTCTTCTGGGGAGCAGAGCTCACCTGCATAGGACTTCAGGACTGAAAAGCAGGTGGAAGCCAAGCCTCCACCTCAGCAACAAGAACAATACCTGCCATCAATTGCCTGCTCAGTAAAAATTGCAAATACCTATGAGAGCAAAAGTATTTTGAAATACTGCTTAAGACTGTTGGCCTTAAAGAAAATTTGCACATTCTTCTTCTGATATTAGGCATATTAAGTTATGAGTTTTTATAATTCTCATTAAGAGTTTACACTGAATTACATTCTACTTGCAAGAAAGCATATGTTTCATGCAATTTGCAAAAAAAATTCCAAGTTTCCCCCAAAACAAAAATTCTTTTTGGAGAACCTTGTTTTTGATAGAATTTTAGAACAATACGTTATAATAATAAATTGACATTTAAATTGGAAGGCACAATCAGCTCTTATATCGTTATACTTTAATAAAGGAGTAATTGGATGCAATTCACAACATTAATTTTAACTATATTTCAGATACAGAAGTTCTGTTTTCAACCAGTATTTTAGGAGACTGTCTCCCAAAACACTTCTTTTAGTTGAAGATACTGCCCACAACAAATTACTATACCTATGAAAGTAACAGGGAGCTATAGATATTACACAGCTTCAGGTATAGAAAATTAATACTGTAACTATTACAATACATCTAAACAGCAAAAAAGGACTACCTCTTGTAGGTAGATTTAAAAATCTTTTATCAGTTCTTGTTTACTCACTTAGTTCTGAAAAGCCACAACTTTAAGTTCTTTTTATGGGGAAAGCTCTGCCCAGCTTTTCTAGCATCACACGACATTAGATGTAAAAATTATGCTCTCTTGAATAGTTATTTAATCGGAGAACTGAGCATAAAATTATTCTGATTAAAAGGTACAAACGAAAGGAAGAGAGTGTATTTACTTTCAGGCACTGAACTGTACTCATAAGTATGCCTCAAACTGTCCCATCTTTCCCTCTCAGATATTTACTCCTTGCTAGGTATACACATAAAAAAATCAGTCCTGCTTTTTCCCCCTGTCATAGAATACACAGCAAATGTTGAGGTTTATGTCATTTGGACTGCTTTTTTGGGGAAGAATTCCCTTCTTCTGCTAGATCCTACTCTGTCTCCTAACTAAGCCACAGCCACTAGTGCCATATAAAGAGACTAAGGGTTTTTGTTCCACCGAACAGCTGTGTATGTGGAGGACTTTGGTCTTTGTTGAAAACATACTGCCACATTCCATTTCCATATTTTAAAAACCTGTTTCCAATCAGACTAGCTTTTATCTGCACATTACACTGCCCCATACCCATCTTTACTTGTATGCTGTGTATGAATAATACAAGAGGAAAATAGCAGATCTTCTGTCTAGCTCTAAGATCTTTTATTTGCTGCAACAATAACCTTCCAATATGAAAGCAGACAGCCTCCTATCCCTCTGTGAAACAGAAAGAGTGCTTGCTAAGCTCTGAAAAAATACAATGAAACAAAATTTCTTTTCATCTCTGAATTAAGGGTGCTAACGTGGTAACACAATTGTACAAGTTCTGTAAGATTTACTAACAAAACAAAAAAAATAAAACCCCCAAACCCCCAAAAACCACAACTAAGCAATCAGAAGCACTGCCTGTGATCTGGGAGTAAGTACACGACTTCCTTCTTATCATGTAAACAATTTAGACTATTCTGCTTGTATTTTAGCTTATTTGGCACAATAACATGTAGAAATGAAAAAGGAAAATCACAGAGCTGTTTGGATTTGTTTTATTTGTTGTTGGTTTTGTTTATTCTTCTTTGTTTTATTCAGAGATACTTCACATGCAGTATTTTAAGTCAATTTAATCTGTTCTTAAGGCAGCCAGTTAGCAGCATTTTTTTAGAACCTTTGGAAGGGAGAGGCTGAAAACTTTTTTAAAATAAGAAAACCTTACAAGAAAGCACAGAGTATATAATGACCACTTAACTAAATGCAGTGGAACTGTACCATAATTGATGCCTCCACGACTGAAATTATAGCCTAATTTTGACTCAGCAGTGTTTTATCCAGCCATGCATACTTCTTGGCATAAAAAACCAAAGGCTAATGATTACATTTCAATAATTCAGAATTTGTCAAGTAAACCAGTTACAGAGCTTTTCTATTTCATGATCTGTTTTGATTAAATTAGAACCATGCTGCACTTTAACAGAACAGCACTTTAAATTCATCAGTCACTGCTTTCAGCATCACCAGCATCAACATCACTTCTACCAATCTTAAAGTCTCATCCTAAACTGAAACCCTTTCTTTCTCTTCATCTGCAGTTAAGGCTGCAGATGGCCTTAACTGTTTATTTTCCTCTATTTTTGCTGTGCTTTACAATCTTCTTCACTCTTAGACTCCTTTAAACTATTAAGGCTGTACACCTTATTTCAGGATTGAATACACTTCCATACACACAAATCCTATTTTTTTATCCCTTCAGGAGCACTACAGTTAATCTTCTGTAACGGTGAAAGAATCAGTTTTCTAACATCCGTATCTCCAGATTAGAATTATATGCAGCTAATTTTTCCAATATAAAATTAGTCCACTGTAGCTACATATTATTTTCCTAAATACAGCAGAGACTTCTCCTCATAAAGAATTGGACAACAGTTCACTTCATGAGTAATAACGAGCACTGATTAGATTCCCAGAAGGCATGTATCCTCTTTCTCACTCCAAAGGTAGAGTTTCAGTTCCTCTGCACTATCCTTTTCCTATCCCCATTTAGATACTTAATTTGCATGGAAAAAAAAACCAACCAGATTTAACCTGGCATACCCTAGTTCCTAGCAACAGATGCAGAAAGAAAATTACAATCTAGAATTTAATAGAAGATGTAGCTGTGAATGGGTTTGCCCTTTGAGCATACCTGACAGGCAGGAAGCAATTATGTGAAATTGGTAATTAAGAAAGAAAAAAAAAACCAACAAAACAGAATGATAAAAGTAGCAGGCCTGGATACTGACAGCTATACAACTATTTAATCTTTTAAGTATCAGCTTCTTATTTCTTATATTTGAATGGTGTGTCAAAATCTATATTTCTGCTTCCCATAGAATTCCCAAAGCTTTCCTGACTGGAACTTACCTCTGTAATAGAAGAGACACAGATCTGAGAGCACAAACCACCGTTTCTTCCACAACTTCATTCCAGTACTATCCTGTATTAACCAAAGTGACCAAATAAGCACTTTCAGACTGTTAATAGTAATGGTTCATAAACTAAACCAGTGGTGCATAACTGTGGTGGTGTGCTAGTCATGCAGTTTCTTGGCTACGATATTTTAAGTATCTTTGACATCTCATCACAGACTTGACACTGCAAACAAAGATCATAATAACCCAGGAGGCCTGAAGTGAACATGATTCAATAATAAGTAATAATCCATTATTTTAGCAGGCTAGAGACTACAATCTACAGTTAACAAAAAAAAGTATATTTTTTTCTTAAAAAGGAAAAGTGCAAGGTAATACTTGGGGTACATCCTCCTTTGTTTCCTGAAAAAACTCCCTGAACTTCACCTTCTATTACCACTTATATATCTAGAGCTGTTTTTTTCCCCAAAAAAAGTTTATTCCTAAAGCAATTTCATTTTCTTTTACGCTTACAACCAATTTACATTGCACAACTCAGAATGAAAGACTGCCACCACTGCTGCAGTGTAAATAAGGCAGAGCATCACAGCATGCACATCCTTGTTGAGTCACATTTAATAAATATGTTAATCTGTTCCAAGAAGAGTATGTGTGAATTATCAATATTTTTGTAGTAAGCAGGTTTTGTGACAACCAAGAAGAGGGAGCCTATAATGAGAAGCTGAGGTGGTGTGGATTTCATTTTGGGGCTGTTTTGGTTTTTTTGTAAAAAAGAATCATTTTTAGCCTTGTATTTCAAGCTCTGCTCCTCTTAGGGTGGGGGGAAATAAGCTGAAGGAGGGAGAAGAAACGGTAAATCAGACCTTAGCTAAGAAATATTATTCAGAAATAGTTAAAAAAAACCCTTTGCCACAAACATTTTCACAAATAGAATAACTAAACACTTTATAGCATCTTCCTTCTGAGCTTCTCAAAGTGCTTTAACAAGCACTGATGAAGTCTGGAAGCACTGCCCATAGCAGTCAGCTCCCATTTCACAACTGGAAAGGCAGCGAGGAGGAGGGGGAACTGCCTTCCTCACCTCACTGCAAGGAAAGCAGACTCAGTAGCAGAGCAACGTGCTGGACCTTTGGCTCAAAGGACACTGGCCATAAAAATCAACTCCATCATGTGAAAACATCCAAACTTCTTCAGTATGAAGGATTACCACAAGCCCTCAGACAGACTTTCTGAAGAGGCTGTTATGCAACCTCACATTGATTCCATCACCCAAAACCACCAACAGGTTTCTACACAGCCACACGTAAAATTCTGCCAGCAATGAGACATGCTAGGAATGATCTTCAGCCCTTCGTCAGGAACAGCAGAGGCACGCTAAACTATTTTGTGCTCCTCGTATCATAAATTCTTTCCTACTCTAAAGTGTATCCTTTCTGTATCAGAGGATTTACTAATTATTGCTTCCTCTTGATTATGTTGTAATATAGTAACAGTGTATTTTCAGTGAATGCTTTCCCAAAGGAGTTGACTGGACTTAAAAATTAGTAGAAAATGACAGAAGAACAGTACTACATGCAATGAGACAGCACACCCCGAGTCAAACAAAACTTGCTGTTCTCTGTGATTACATAAACATGTCGAGAAACTTACTGATCAATAACAAACCTGCACAAGCTTTCATTGTAAATTTCTGAAGACAGTATTTGTTGGTATTGACTAAACTGACTTTCAGTTCCTACTACAACATGGAAACATGCAGCAACCTCTTTTCTTACAAAAAACAATTAAACATCATAGCATTTAAATCATTTTACACATAAACCCCATTCATTCATATGCATTTTGACAGTGAGGTGGGTTTAAAACTGGCTGAACTACCAGGCCCAGAGAACGGTGATCAGTGGCACCAGTAGCTGCCAGTTGCTATAGTCCACCCCAGACACTGAGAATGTAGCCAGGACTATTTAATATCTTCATAAATGACCTGCACACTGTGACAGAGTGCACCCTCAGCAAGTTTGCACATAATATCAACTATAAGGAGTGGCTGATACACCAGGGAATTGTGCTGTCATTCAGAGGGACCTTGACAGGCTGGGAAATTAGGCAGAGAAGAACCTTATGAAGTTCAACAAAGGGAAATGTTCAGTTCTTCATCTGGAAAGGAATAAACCCATGCACCAGAACACACCAGGGCTGATCAGCTAAGAAGCTCTGTGAAGAACGGGGAAATACTTCATATTTACATTCAACAGGAAAACAAAATGATCTCTGGTTTTAAGGTGATTATCTTTGAGTTAAGAAAACAGGCATTCCTCTCTCTTTTCATATGTGAAAAAATTCTTGACTTTCAATTCATTATTGAAAATATTTACTTACATTTAAAAAAAATATTAAGAGATATAGTTTAACAAAAAAACTTCAGAATTTAAAAAAAACAATATGCTCGGCCATACATCTTTGTCCCATCGTCTCAGCATGCCTGAAGTTACTTCAGCTTTTTACTACCAACACCTGCCTAGATCTTTCAAGTCCTTTCTGTATTTTAGAGAGAAATATGTATATATATCAATGCTATATACTTGTTTGATGCCCTCACTCATTTGTATCACAATGCTACAAATTAATTAAAATACCATGTGTCAGTTCCTCACAGTTTATAGCTTCACTCTGATATTGCTATAATTATATTTTCTGCAAATGATCATGTTTTGTACATCAAACACCTTGGCAAAAAAGGAAGTGAAGAGGGGAAGAGTACCTGTTTGTAGAGCCAGCCACGTCTGACAACTGGAGCATTAGGATTTCTCTTTATTGAGTTTGATCTCTTTCCAAAATTATGAACCTTCTTTGAAGATCGTGATGTCTAAATTGAACAGTTTAAAGAAAACTTGACATCAGTCTCTGTTCAAAAATCATATTTTCTTTACTTTAAGATCTTTTCCTTCATGTTCCTCTGAACGATTGTAGACTACAAATTGTATTCCTTTCTTAGATAAATAATTATTATGATGATTCTGCTGGCTTCAGCATTTCCTGCTTTTTTTCCTCTGCAGAGAATTTAAAGACAAATCCCAAGACAAGTACTTAAAGAATTTTTTTTTTAGCAAGAAAAAACAACCAAATACATATCTGACCTTCTTCTATGGTAGCTAGAAAGTTTACTAAATTGTAGAAAGAGAAGTAAAACTAACAGAACTATTATTAACTATGGAAAAATTACATTATCTGAGCAAGAAAATTCTACTCTTTCCTGCTCCCAACACTGGCCTAAGACATGAAAACTTGTCCAGATTTCAACAAGTTATATAACTCCCCCCTTTTCTAACTTTTTCCTAATTAAACTTATTCTTTCTCCCCTCTCAAGAACCCTTCGCTCTATGACCTCTGGACTGGTTTGAATATTCATTATTTTACCTGCTTGCACTAAGATATACTTTGAAACTTTTACACTGGAACTCCAGTGCTTATATCTGCCGTTGCTTGTACCTTTTACAACCTTACAGCTATGCAATGATCACAGATATTTAAGAGGAGGAGGATAAATAATGCATTTTAGATTTTAACCTTCTTGTACTTGAGTAACCGAAAGAAATTGGAAAAGGCATAAAGAAACGTGCAGCACTTTGCCAATTCACACTTCATTCTTCTCAGCCTACAGTTAGTTTTTTCTGCAACTGAAAGAGTTGAATGTTTACTTGTGTTTTAAATTTTCTAAGAATTGTTGCCTCAGAGACCTTGCCACGTGATACAGAAAACTACCCTGCTCTGCAAAAGAATTTCAAGTAAGTTTTTTAAGCTGTGTTCATGGCTCTGCCCCAAATCCACTATTTGAATTGAGACAATATAATCTTGTGCTCCAGCTTCCCCATCTCTATTACTGAGAATAATCATACAAGGTTGTGCAAAGTTCCTAAAGGAGGAAGGTTAAACAAACACTTGGACTTTGTTGTAAATTAGGGTATGAGGTTCCTCTATGGAAATTCTCTCAACACGTACCACAGAACTGAGCTGGGTTTTATCCATGCTTCCAAGAGAATTCCACAGTAGGTTAAAAACCATAAACTTAAAACTACAATTTAAAATGATGTGCAGGTTGTGTCAACTATGACATTAATTGAAGAATACAACATAGCTTAGCCAAAAAAGAGCAACATTACTAAAACCTATGTGTGTTTGCTTTAAGTCTATAACACAATGAAACAAGTTTGGTTTATATTTCTTTTTTGAAAGAATCAAGAAGGAATATAAAAACAATGAGATTGCTTTTAATTTTCCTTGGACATACAGAAATTTGACTCAACTCTGGAGAGCAAGATAGAGAAAGCAACTGAATATGTGATTCAAAGTAAATTAAAAATCTTTTACATTTTCATCTGAAAAATTCTACCAGTGTAAAATGGACGAAGGTTTGTAGGAAGCCAAGAGAATTATGACATCCAGCTGTAAAAAGGAATATACAGGCAACCTATAAACAATCCAGAGCACATTATAAAGTTAACTACATCTATACCTATATGGCTACTATATTGGCATATCACACATCAGCTGTGACAAGATTTTGATCAGAAATAATTTATAACAGTCATAGCTGCTTTAATATTAGTTATTAAAGGTTCCAAACCTCTCAGGAGTTTTCCAGACTTCCTGTGCTTGTAAAACGCTAATAATTTAAGTGTGCTCCTGAAAACACAACCAACCACAAGTACTACTAATCTGAAGTCTACTGACAAATTCAGATAATTTAGAGAGATATCTCTTAGGTAGGTTTGACAATAAGCCATATTAATTCCAATTTCCCTGAGCTCACAGCAAAGTTTTAATGGGTTACATTTTACCCACTGTGAATATAAACTTCCTTTAATTAAACACAGCATAACAAGCACTTTCTAATTTTAGTTAACACAAAGAACATTTTAGATGACTTGTGATTATTTTAACACACACAGCATAAAGAGAATAACCATTCACAACAGCCTCAAGATGACAAGTATTTTAGGATATTGATATATTGTGAGTGTATATATAAACTAGGGTTGAGTTCTCAAACTTTTTAGATCTCCTCCTCTGCTTGCTGTGTTTGTGATCTCTGGCCATCCCATGTTCTCATGCTGGAGAAACAGGAAGCAAGGAAAAAAAAAAAAAAAAAGAATTGAAGGGGGTTCAACTACTTTTTACCCCACAGCACTGAAAATGTAGGATATACTGCACAGCTTCAGCTCCTGGAGAAGGCAAAGACAAAAGGGGGATAGTGAATGAAGAGTCCAACTACTAACCACTCACTGGAAGATGTAGAAGGTAGCAGAGCTAGCAAACTTATAGTCACGTCTGGTACCATCTGACCTATTCTAAGGAATGCTCCTAGCAACTGTGATGCCTCCAAAATCAGAACCTATGGAAGGGATCCTGTAGGCCCAGTACCGAGAAAGAAGCCAGGAAGTGCAGCCAGTGGTATTGACTCCTTCCCAGATCTGAAGAAAAACACCAGCAGGGTTTTAGCTCTGGGCAACAGAGCAGTCAGTAGCTGGGGCTGTTCACTTTGTCACTCTGCAAGCTGCTCTTCTCTCTCCTTAGCAGGTAAAGCACACAGAATTCCTGTGAGGCTTCTTCCCCAGTTTCAGAACTAGCACAAAAGTAATTAACACTAAACCTATTGTGCTTGTATTTGGAAAAAAACATAGGTTGACAACCTTGCTGAAAAGGAAATTTTCTGTATGTGAATTCAAAGAGTGAAAATTTAAATCTTTTCTACTTTCAGCTTCTCTTTAAAAATATGTTTCCAGTCTTCAAGGCTTACATTATCTTCCAAACCACAAACCAACATGATACAGGCTTCTAGATTTTGTAGGCAATTTCAGTGCCTCACAATGTTGTAGTTTTCCATGAGCTGAGTGGGTTTCTGCCTCAGCATTTTAGCTTGACCAATCATTCACTCTTACTGTGCTTTGGTTTGCACAGTAGAGCAAACTGGATTTATTTTAGATAGACTAAAATCTAAGACGCACAAGGGGTAGTACTGGACTAGTCTAAAGATAAACCATGAAAACACAGTACAGGTGCTGAGCCCTGAGCACCAATACTGCCCTTCACATTGCTCCTACCTACTCTGCTCTTTGTCAATGTATCCCATGACTACTGCTCCAAAATGTCTGTCTAACCTTAGTACTGAGAAGAGAGGTATGGCTATACCTAAACTAGCCATTTGAAGCTGGACTAGCTTCAGCACTGTATGAAAAATTTACAAATAAACTGATGAATATTTATAAACAATGTGATACACCCTAGCTCTAATGGAGACACGAGGGGCTCTGCAGCAGCTGTCCTGGGCTAACACTCCAAGACACTTATGGTGACAAATTTGTTAGCCTTATTCTGCTGACAATCAGGACAGCAATGAAGAGCAGGGGAGATGAAATGTGCAGGGTGACTGATAATATGACTGACTTTGTAATGTGTGAAGCTGATTCTCTGAATGCATTTCATGACATACAATTATACTTGTCTAGGCTGTGATTTTAACAGTGGGGAAAAAAAAAAGGAAGACAACTACAAAAATTAAGTCTTAGTTTTAAAAAGAGATGTGAAAATATATAACTGTAGCAATCTCAAGTCTATGTAGATCTTTTTCCCAGTCAGAGTTCTGTGCTTGTGACCTCTGGTTTAGAATTAAACTTCAAGACAACAATGAAGAAGCAGCACTTAACAGAGCTATAGTATGCCATTTGGCCAGCATCATGAATATAGTGGAAAAGGAGGATTAGAAATAAGACTTTTAGTGAGGAAACACTGATTTTTGCCTCACTCCATATTACCCTCTAGATAGCAGCAGCATTAGGCTCCAATGGGTCTTTCTGCCACAGTATAAAAGCTTCTCCAAGTTCTGCATCTATTCAGGATCAGTTAACATTAATGAAAGGGAGAACTTATTTCTGCACCTTTCAACTATCCAAAACTTTAGCTGTACCACAAACTTTTCATCTATTCCTTATTACCTTCCATGTGTGTTCACGAGTTGTCTCTGAAAACAGAAAGTTATCTCTAAAACATACCTAAAAAATAGGTATACAATGCACATGATGCATTGTTCTGCTCTGTAATTTACTTTCCTCACCAATACTTCACTCCTCTTTTACTGTGCTCCAATACACAGAGCCTATACATATTGTATTTAAAGGTGGATAACACAGCTGAGAATTTCAGGTTCTACTATTGGGAGATATGAATAAACCCATAGAAAAAAAATCTGTTTATATCCACGTCCAAATAGTGAGCCATTACTGTATGGTTATCTTTAAAAACTATTCAACTCATTAGGCTTAAATAACCACCAGGAAATGCTGAATAACATTAGCTGTGGTTCTACTTTGTAAGCATTCATCTCCTGAAAACAAAACTTTTAAAATGGTGTTGCAGAAATTCAGTCAATTTGAAAACTGATGTACTGTGATAGTACATATAGTCACAGTAATCATAGTAGTATTTTAAGTGCATTTAATTAACTAGAGAAGACAGGAGGAATAGAAAGTAGAACAAAAGTTGATTTCTTCAATATATAGTAATTTCCACAGGAAGCTAAAGTGTCATTAATCAATGGAAGGAAAGAAATTGCAAGAACTGAGGCATAGCATTCTCCATTTCCCTCTAGAACACTGAGACAAACATGCTAAAGGGCATTTTAATCTTCTATTTTGACAAAGCCTAACAAAAAGTGTTCATAAAACATGTGCTCCTAAATTGTAATTCCTTTCCTACTCTAAACCAAGAGCTCTTCCTAGCCAGTTTTCTTGTAATTAATTTTCTGTGTAACTATTAGAATTGACAGCACTATTGCAACTCTAACACTAAGTTACCTTGGGTTTTCTGTTTGCTTGGTCATTTTAAGGATAAGTCATGTTTGAGTTTGGTGGGTGTGGTTTGTTTCTTTTCTAGTTTGTTTTGTTTTGCTTTGTATTAAACAGGCTTTCCTGCATGGACTTAAACATAACCATATGGAAGTTGAGATGGATTTTTTTTACTGTTTATAATTAATCTGTGACTCCTTTTTTTTCCCACCCAGCAACACTAGTAGATTAAGACATTTTCCTCATTAAATAACAATTTTCTAAGGTAGGTCAAGGATTCTGCCTGTCTAATGAGACATTTGAAACAACAAAAATATGTTTCTCAAATGTCCTTAAAGAAACCTTACAATGTTTCCTACCACAAGGAAAATAATTTCAATCCAATTTTTCTCTTGCAGGCTGGATTAATCTGCTGAAGAGCACTTCTCACTGTTAAAGTTTCCAATGAATAACAGAAGTCTGGCTTTTTTTTTTTTTTTTTCCCCTTGTTTAAATGGTGACTTCTGGGTGGAAGAAATTATATGGCTCTTATCTGTCATCACTGATCAAAGTTGTTATCTTGGTGTCCTAGCAAATTCAAGGAAATTCTTAATTTTGTAGCAAGTGCACTTTCCTTTCAGGAAAGCTGTCCATAAAATGAAAAAAAAAAGGTACACAATAGCTTCATCAGCTTTATGCAATAAACTTAAAAGTTGATACAATTGAACCCATGACTTTGATAAACATCTGGGCTTTTACCTTAACCTTCTAAGAAGCTGGGTAAATGAAGAAAGTAGGACACAAGTCAAGATGACCTAGGAATCTCAAGGACTTTTCCCCAGGAATTTTTCTAAGAAACCAGGATTTCTGCTTCTGGTCCAACAACAGCAAACCATGTTGTCTGCCCTTTAATTTTAGCACAGGGTCACCTTCCATCTCTCTTGTAACTACTTCTTACACACAATTATAATTCTATTTTACCTGTGGAAATCTAGTGAACTGTTTGTGATCGAGCAGTTTCCACAACAATGCTTACCCAGATGTCTGAGCAGTCATTCAAGAATTGTTCACACAGATTAGAAAGGTCAGATTCTGTTAACAATTTAATGTGCAAGTGATAAGATCTGAAATACCTGATAAAAATGACAGCTTCAGTGATAATTTGTTTCAGTTTCCAAATTAAACATGAAAGGAGCCAAATGCCCTGAAAAAATATATGCCTTGTTTCTCTTTTTAAAGGTAATACTAATATATAGCACTGTCTAGTACCTTGTGGAAAAACCAAATGATTTTAATTTTAACTTATTTTGGACATAAAGACTTACTCTGCCCACAGGGCTCATTGGATGAGCAGCATAATCTGATGTCAGATTATAGTTAGTTGCTTCACATATCATGCTTACTGGTCGCTCCTTCTTTTCTTCAGATGTCATTGCTGCAGCAGTCCTGAAAATAGAATATGTAATAGCACTAGAACATGCTGTGTGTGCAGACTGCTATTAAAAAGCACCCCTAGATAAAGCCTAAAACAGCCTGTGTCCTACTTTTACAACTTGAAAGCAATTCACACTTCATTGTAGTTACCTGCACTATGTTTTAAACTTGAATCTATTCTAGAAGATTAAGATGTTGTTTTAAAATAGGATTTCTCTGTTAGCACAAGGTGTTGGTGGGACGGAAAAAGACAGGTTATGAGCATGAGATGGAAATGGGAAGAAATGCTCTCCAAAGACCTCATGTGGCTTTGTCTCACTTTAGTGAGAACACACAGGTTTGTGAAGTTTCACGTGCTGCAGTTCTGATGGTTTTCTCTCTAGCAATGATGGCAAGTAGGACACCCAATATCTGGCCACGTATACAGATAGCAAAACCACATTGTTATCCAGTGATTCAGAAAGTGTCTCAACTGGCCAAGAAAATAACTGATTGAGGAGAAACTATCAGACAAAACAAAACAGATTAAGGGGACATGATTGTCATTAAGTGATTAAGAAATTTATTCCTTTTATGGAAGTTTATGGGATTATTATATAATATATAGGTCATTTGCTAACACTACAAAATAAGTAAAGTGACAAGTGGAAATTCACCCAGTGCATAAACACAGTGCATTTCTATCATATAACTAATCTGGGCTATGGTTTAAGCCTTAAAAATTAGTACTAAATATTTAATATGACTTTCAAATAATTTAAACAAGTAAAACATTATACATTCTAATCTGACTTTGAAAACAAATACTGTAATTAGCAGTCACTGAATCTAACTTCAATATTAAAAAAATTTAAAACATGTATTTTTTTGAACTGGAACAGATGCCACTTACTGTTCATTCACAACAAAAATACAGTTGTCCTGTGATGGCTGTCCTGTCACTGGATGCTTGCAGGTTACTTTTCGCTCATTATGACTGTGGAAGAAAGATAAAGAAAATAATTAGGCAATCTTTATTTTTCCAAGTCAAGTATATAAATCTAGTACACTGAGTATATAAGCTCAGTGAAAACAATTATGAATATTTCATTACAACATGTCTGTGTATACGCCGACAAATGCATATACATGTTAAGTAATTAAAAATATGGTAAGCATTAAGGAATCTTCATTAACACTCTGCAAAGAGATGGAAAACATTGGCACTGGGCTGGTAAAGATTTTGAATTTAAAAACTAGTGCAGTAATAGAGCTCATACACAATCACTGATAATTCACTTCAGCTAAGTCTTTATATATTTATAAACAGGATTTCAGCTAGACAGGGACAAGCTAAACATCAGCCAGACAATTGCTCTGTAGGGATAAAATACCACTATTCTAAAAGCAATTGTCTTCTAGCTTAGAACATGAAGTTACTAGTTCAAAATTTACCAATAATACAGATAAAAGTTCAGTGATTGGAATAAGAGCAAAGCATTGGAATCACAGTTCTACTCTTGCTGGTGACACTTTAATTCAAAGTGCTAGTCCCCTGCAGTGATCTTGGGAGCCCTCAAGCGGCAGGGAACCTGCTGGCTGAGGGCTTCACCCCCAACAGCACAAAACCACACTTTGCAGTATCATGTTCCCCAGAAATGCAGTTGTTGCTAGATCACAGCAGCTCCCACAACTTGGAATAAATTGCCAAAATTCAACAACAATCAGCTGCTGCCACTCAAGAAGGAAATGTTTTGACTTGAGCCCTCCAGCCCTAGAGGGGAAGGAAGAAAAGGGGAGGAATTGCCTTTCCTGCTTCCCAGATATGTCAATCAGCTGACAGTCACAACCTGTGGCTGCTGCAGATTGGGGCTTTTCCACCCACAGCCTCAACACAAGCAGCAGGTCCCAGCCCCAGTTATGCTCCAAGGAGACCTGAGAGTGTGGAGCTGGCACCGCAGCAACACTGTGCAGCTGTGAGTCAAGGGGTGCTTCAACTACAATAACCCCCTCTGAACTCTCAGGCCCCAAAATGCAGGAAAGAGAGCAGGAAAAGTGCACTGATGAAATTTAAACCTGGCTCAAGTGATTCAGAAGCACACAAGCAGAAATTACACACAGAGAGGCAATGAGTATATATGCAGATGCGTTATTCAGATATAACCCACACGCTTCAAAAGAAACTCACCTCTTCTGTTTTTAACACTTTAAATAATATTTATAAACTGAAAAATAAATAATGCTAAAAAAACCACCAGTATCTCAAAACAGCACTGTAAATCACAAAGAAAGTAATCCCATTTGATAGTATTTACTGTTGTAAAGAATATGTGATGATATGTTTTTCATGTTGGGTATCTTATATAACATCATGCCTTCCTTATCACAAGTTCAGCCCTGAAAAATATTCTTGAACAAAGAACAAACCTAGACAGCAAACAAAAGTGCTTTAGTTGCAAGATAGCAGAAGAGGTGTTGAACAGCAAAAGCTTTGAATGGCACTTCATCCTTAACATCTACTTCTTTTATTGCCTATTCACTTATCCATCTTAGCTTTCAAAACCATGAAGTACAGCTCACCTCACAGACGTTATGCTCTCTACTCTTCCTGCTTCTTGAAACAACCAAGACTTAACAAGACTATCTTAACATTGCCCAGGTTTCTTGAAAGTTCCTTTGGATAATAAAATTTTACAGTTACGGAGCATCACTAATTAAAACGTACCTCCAAACAGAAGCCTAACAAAATATTCACACTACTTTCATGGTCAATGGGTAGTTGGATAAATCTGCATAAACCTAAAGCAAACAATTAGCAAGAGCCCAATTCTTTGCACTTTCTGTACTGGGATTTAAAAAACCTACTAATGCGTTAATGGGTAGATGATTATGAAGCTTAATTAATGAGCTAGCAAGTGCCAGTACTTCACCTTCACACTACATTCAGCAGAATTCTATGTTTAGCTTCTAAAGAAGCTTCTGTTGCAGAAATGCATCCATCACACTGGGGGGAAGAAAAGAGAGGACCTAAGTATGCTTATGCCATTCCTGATTACCATTGTCCTACAACACCTCTCAAATAAAAAAGGCCTAGACTGAAGAGAATTAAATTAAAAAAACCACAAAAACCCCTGGATGATTCCTCTTTTTCTTCAGTTCCCAAAACTATCTTTTATTCCCTCTGACATTTCAGAAATTCTCACTTCAAACTGAAAAAAAAAAAAAAATAATGATGGAGATGAGCTGGCACTCCAGAAGCTGTGCCCGAATGTTGCCACCTCGTTCATGTTAAACCTTCACAGCTGGCTATGAGCTGACATCCAGGAATGTAGAAATAAATGGATCAAGACTTCTGCTTAAGAACCATCAATACTGAGGACCCCTAAAAAGGAAGCACATCCCATGTTTTTTATGAGTGCACCAGACTCACACTGACCCAGGGAGAGGCCACACTCAAAGACTGTAAAGGGACGTCACAAAAAAACAGGAAGGGAGAGGAAAAGAAGAGAGAGAGGAGATGAAGCACTGACACAAACCTATTCAAGAATACTTCATTTAAGGCTCGAGTCATATATCGAGTTAGTATTCCAAAAACTTCAAAAGGCTTTTGGACAAAATACAGTTCTCGTTACTACCCACACCGATGTTGAGATGTAAAGAGGTGTAGCTGGCTTTACATGAAAAGGGCAAAAAAATATTGTAGACATGAAACACTGTCCTGTGGGATATACAATGCTTTCCAGCATTTGAGAGACCTTTACAGTCACTTCCTTCTAAAAAGGTGAGGCAAAGGAAGAGCAACCTTTTCTTTCTCTTCAGCTTAGATGCAAGTGAAATGTCATGAGCAAATGCTGGAAATTCATCTTGTACAACTAAGAAGTGTGATGACTGTAAATATATCTAACTGGATGAATAGATTTTTAAAACTTCCATTTGAAAACTTTTTCATTACTCATCTGAATTATTGCATTTTTGACATTAATTTAGGAGATACTTTGACAAGACTCCTCAAAATAGTTGTACAAGGTATAGAGTAGCTTGATAATTATTGTCATAATCCTCCCACATAACAGTAGGTTAAGGCTTTGTTTTAAACTTCACCTTGTAGATTGCAGAGAGTTTCATTAAAACCAAGCTACAATTTGTTAGTCACAAATCTTTAACAACCAATTTAGACAGTTATTAAGTTACCCAGGAATTTCCAGATCTACACACACACAGACTTAGTATTTAATATATTACTCTGTAATAATACATTCTGGTCAATAAATCTCAGGGGAAATAAAGCAAAATATATATATTTTTTTTTTTTTTTTTTACTGAGAAATCTAATTTCAGTTTTATGCAAACTCCAGCACGTAATTCAGTTTCAACTCTGCATATTTATGTTTCTGCACTTTTATTATGTGGTAAAGAATGATCCACTTTGACACAGGCAGCTAGAAGCCAGTGTGTTTACTTTTTGCTTATCCATACATACAGCCTCCAAGAAGCATACGGAACCAACATTCCTCTGTCTTCTAGCTCAAATCAATCTTTTTGTAACAACTTTTTAGAACACAGGGTTACTACACACACACTGTTGCACTCATACTGAAAGCTATAACTGACCTTTAGTATTTTAGTACTCACAGCCAGGTTGTATTGTCATTCCAAACACTCAAGCCAAAGATGGAAAAAATTCCCTGTGTATTGTATTAGTATTCATGAGCATACTCACTAGACTCAAGTACATGGCACAAACCATTCCTCATTAATGTTTCCTACTGGGATGTATTTGGCTCCATAAAGTGACCAGCTGACTGAAGTGGCACGAGAGGTAAGCATTTCAATGCAAAATAAAACATAGTTCTTGCATCTACCAAGATAATATTCTGTCCTTGATTCAGCTGGTGGCCTGGGACTATGAACTGCTATGAAAAGATCAAAACCAAAATAAACAAATATTACACACATACACCACACCCCCAAAACCCCTAACCACACCAGAATAGCTCACGCATGGACAAGTTCTATTTTCAGCTATCCCAGTGCAAGACAACTCATACCAACTCAACAGCAACTACTGAACTTGACCTCTTCTCTCCAGAATTTTTAAAGCTCTCCTTCCCAATCCTTTTCCCTGAACACTGCAGACTTTGGCATCACTTAGCAGTAGCTTAGCTTTGGCACATGGACAAGCCCTCAGAGCGAAAGTATTTATCTTGTTCAGGTTAGAAGCTGATAGTAACCTTGAATCTGACTCATGTTATTTGCCTTATCTACTCTTTCTCCTTTCCATCCTTTGAGACTCTTAATCCCTTCAGAAGACAAAATTATTTTATTTTCTAGACATGTTCAAAAAGCCTTGTGTAGTTTTAATCTGCTCACTAAATGCATAGTCAACAACAATCTTTTTGATGGCCAAATATGATCCAAGGACTACCAAAAAAAAAGCCCTCAAATATATTATTCTCTTTCTAAGTAGCAACAGAATGCATAATTCCAGAAGCAGCACTTGCCAGCACAAATCCTACACAAGTCCTACACAAACAGGATTGTTTGTTCATTTTCATTCTATCTGGTGCTTTATAAGACTGCTGACATAAAAATGCTGCGTACCAGTATTTTGTTCTAATGCATAGCACTGGAAAACCAGCAAATTCAAAATTCTGTCCAGTTTTGTCATTTTGGCATTGCCATCATCTTAACAGTACCAGGTATCTTTGCAAAGGGAATAAATTCAGATAACATCAATTGGAATGGAAAAAAAAATACAGCGGTGGAATCCAGTTGTACAGGAGGATGCACATAATTAAAAACTAAGGGTTATCCATCTTTACTTTCAAACAGAGCAGTTCACTGAAACGTGGCAAGAAAGATCAAAGTCCTAGGGTGGGGACAGTTGGTTTGGGGTCTCTCCATTGTATGATTTGGTTGAGTTCCCTGTCCTCTCTCTCTCTCAAAAGAAAAAAAGCTGGGCCAGAACTCCCAAAGACACATCTGGTTTT